CATGAAAGCTTAAAAAGCAGAATCAGCAGCAGAAGCATAACCTACAGCCTAGTAACAGATTTAAACTATGCTCATGACGAATATAGACAATTAAGTAAAGAGAGCCATCTGCAACTAGAGATTGCAAATTGCAATCGCTGTATGGGCTAAAAAGGGCTACTAATGTAGAAAGGAAAGTCCCTATGAGCATCGAAAGCTACTGGACGTCCTCACCTAGTTAACCAGCTTCTCGGGGAGAGAACGGATTTTGGCAACAAATAGTCCCCAAACTATAGGTTGCCATCCAAGCTATTTCTTAAAAAATAATAAGTAAGAGGAGGGGTGTGGTCCTCCTCTGTTCAGTTGCCAGGTACCTTATTCGTCTGCAAGTGTATCCAAACATATGCCCATCTGTTCCAATCCTCAACAATCCCTGGCTATCATAGGTTAATAAGGGATCTAGAGCCCCTTTACCAGCTTGAGGACCATACTGCCCTTGCAGAACACCATCATCTTCCTTCACAACATGGAAATTTGACCGTCCACACCAAAACTTGCTTATATCCCCCCACGCAGAACCCAACCAGAAGAGGAGAATGCCCTTCTCGTTTTTCGATTTGCTCAGGGTAGCATTGAGGGCACCTAAACGCAGCCAAAGCAGAGGGGAATCCGTCTCTGGTTGGCCGGAAAACCCTGTGAAAAGCCATTGACATCCACCCGGGTCTACTATTACCACCTCAATGTGAGATGGCTTGTCTCGGCACAATTGCTCACAGTACAGCAAAACCCACCCTAGATCTAATAATGGCGAGAAAGAGGAAATTTGAACTGCAAACTCATCCTGCCAAAACAGATTCAAACCACCCCTTCTCTCAGCACGATTGCACGTGAAACAGTGAGCCAACCCTAGATCTATTCGGAACAAAATCATCTCCATCGCCGATTGCTGTGATGCAGGGAGCAAAACAGAGTTCGGCATTTGTTGGAGGCACGATTTAGTTGACTCAAAAAACAAATAAACCTCTCCGAGATTGCGATGAGTCCCGGCCAACATAAGCGGATGAGCCATGGGAAGAAACGAAAAGAGAAACCGAGGGAGAAGCCCTGCACGAAACAAGGAGAAACGCCTAGGCGAGGGGCTCGACCGTCGCGAGGAAACCCTAGCGGCGGCGAGAGAAAAAGCTCTAAGAGGTTTTATATTTAAGTCCCAATAAATTTAACATTTAAAATGCATTAAAGCTCAAAAATTAAAAAATTACTAAAAGTTTTATTTGTATTGAGATAACTCTTTTATTAATCATTTGATTTTAATATTTTATATTTCAAATTTAATTTCAAATTGTAATTTTATTTAGAAATTTTAATATTTTCCTTTTTCAAACTAAAATGGTGATTGTCTATTTATTTTCCATTGTTAACCAACAACTGAAAATACATAAATTCAAAGTAATATTATTGCTTTATCTACAAGATAAATAAAATCAAATAATCTTACTCAAATCTAATTCAGATTTTACATAATAAAAGCTTTTTAAAATTAGGTTATTTATTTGAAATTTAAACTTCAATTTATTAAAATTTTGGTTTAAATTCACAATTAATCTATTGTATTATTTTTTAAAACTTTAAATTAATAAATTAATGGAATTTATAAAGAATAATTGAACCTATCATTAAAAAAAAAAAATAGAACCCCTCTTTCTTAGGGAAGAATTTATGAAAAATTACTTAATTTTCTACAAAATCAAAAACAAATAAATTAGTAAATATAAATTTAGAACAAAATCTTCCCTATAGCGGAGTAAAGACTACAAGTTACACTTTTAATCTGTATGTAACCTTACAAACAACATAAAAAATTTACTTTTAATCAATAATTTCTGAAAATAGGTCCACGTCCTGCAGGCCTGTAGTGGATAATATATTTAAAACC